AGGCAAAAATGCTGCATGGAAATGCAAAACTCTGATTTAAAAGCAGTACAAAGGTAAACATATATCTCTGCTCTTCCAGGTACAAGAAGCAGCCATGCAATGAAGCCAGGCTGGGTTCAGTTTAACTCAACTGGTCAATGAAGCACTGAGAGCTTTTCCCTTTACAGACAGAACTGGAACCTAAACCTGAAACGTTCCCACTCAACTGTTGAGATTAGGAAAAGCCAGGAAAGAAATATTTGTGACCAATTCATTTTAGCAGTTTTACCATCATATTTCACAACCTCAGAAATTTTAGACTTCCTGTGGGTTGGACTTTTGCCCTGACAGGCTTATTAAGTCAAGAAGGCGGCTTTAAGTGCCTTTTTCATGGAAACTGTTAAAGCCTCTCTTGAAGAAGCAAGACTTGAGTCAAGAAACATTGACCTTGTCAGTGTGGCAACTATTGTGATGCTCCTGTTAAGCAAAAGCAGCTTGCAGGTGGAGTTTCCTTCAGATCACAGTACTCATTGCCTCATTGGGTCTCTTCCTCCTAATGGAGAAGTCCCTCTCACCAGTGCTTATCCCTACACAGTCCCTGAGGTGCAGTCAGCTCACAGTTGGAACTCCTCAGAGAAGCAGGATAATAATTACTCAGAGTGTGTTTCAAGGATGGGGGGGGTCTTCAGCTACAGGACACCTCTTCCAAGGGTTTTCACTCTTTTGCTCATCATCCAAAGTGAAGCTGCTAAGGAAACCATGAAAATGCTTGTATTTTGGTATCCTCAGTGTGAAAATTACACGTATTCCTTACATTTTCCTTCTATAAAATAATTTAGAATGGCCTGTTGGGTATGAATGCTTCAACAAACTTTGGGCAAGAGAGAGGGAATAATAGTGTCTTCCTAGGTGAGGACCTGAGTACATAGACCCATAGAACAGTTGGGAGGGACCTTTAAAGATCATCTGGTCCAACCTTTCATGGGAAAGGGAGCCTAGATGATATTATCCGGCACCTCATCCAATAACATCTTTAAAACTGGGTACAAACTGGAACACAAGAGGTTCCACTTAAACTTGAGAAGAAACTTCTTCTCAGTGAGGGTGACGGAACACTGGAACAGGCTGCCCAGGGAGGTTGTGGAGTCTCCTTCCCTGGAGACATTCAAAACTCGCCTGGACACATTCCTGTGTAACATTATCTAGGTGTTCCTGCTCCGGCAGGGGGATTGGACTAGATGATCTTTCGAGGTCCCTTCCAATCTCTAGCATACTGTGTGATACTGTGAAAACCTCCAGTGATGAGGACTCTACCGCATCCCTAGGGAGGTTGTTCCTACATGCCACTTCTTCAAGAGGCTTAACCCATCTGTTTCCTTTCTATGTGCTGGGACACATTCCAGATCTGTCATTGCTGTTGCCTGTAGGCCAGGGAGATGGTGGAAGCCTGACCCACTCATGCCACCTCTGCTGTCAACCACAACAAAAGTCTGCCAGACCGCTTCTCAACTTCCCCAGCGAGCATGTAGGGGCTGCTCAGGGTGTTAAAGCTGTGAAGAGCCTGAATTGAGATTACTTGGACAAGTGCAATCCCCTCAACTAAGTGCCTGTGTAGTGGCTGCAGGACTGATGCTGACTCTTCTCATGCAGAGCTCTCCACGTGGCACTTCACTGCTCCCACAGGTATGTCTACTTAAGGAACAGCGGAGCACCACCTTGCAGACAGTGGTTGCCTGAGTCACACCAGACTCTAAGTACTGGCGTGATGTCTGTCTATTCATCTGGGAAAGTGTTCTCCTTTCTGCTGTGCAAGTAGTATATGTTTTATTCAATAAAGTGCATGCTCCCTATGCAAATGAAAGCACGTTAGAAGGATGATATAGTGACACGTTCTATGTTAAATATGCATGACATTTAAAACTCTAAGCAAGAACGAAAAATCATGTATAAATATTAAAGAGCACAAAGTCTACTTTTTGCTTTCATTTTGCTTCTGATCCTGCACTCTGTGAAAAATACTCCTCACATTCTGAGACTGAATTATCTGTCCAAGAACTAAACCTATAATTTTATTCTATCAGTCAAACTGCATGTCACACTATTTTTATATGAAGACAATCAGGTTCTTTGAAGCACAGACACACCTACTTAAAAGGCGCATTCCTCTGAAAGGAGAAGACTTTGGAATCAGGAGTAATTCATCATGAGACTGATAACTAAATGGGGAAATGCATCTCCTAATGAAAAGGTTTCTTTGCTGTCCATTAGGACACTTGGATCCAGATTCACCCCTTTTGACTGCAAGCATCTAACTTGTCTTCGAATCACTGAATTCTAATGGCTTAAAATGTGCCCTTTGGAAATTCTTGTTTCTCTTCCTTGTCAAGAAAGGACAGGAGGCCACCTGAACTCCTAACCCCAGTACCTTAGGTAGGTATGTAAAAGGAAATTAAATTAATCCAGGCCTTGCTCTAGTTTTTTATTTGTTGTGTGGGAGACCTGTTAGAAAATCCAGTATTCAACCCATTCCTTGTGGCGCAGTCAACTTCACCTCTAGTCTTCTTTGTATTTTCTGCTACAAAGGGCTTAAACGTTCCTCTGGGAAGAAGCGGAAGTTTTCCATTAAGAAAAAAACGTGCAGGAAGCGGAGAAGCCTATCTTTGTGTTCCCTTCTGCCCAAAGATGTCAATAACTTGCAAATACTAGAAAAGTTTCTGAACAGAATGTAAATATCCTGTCCCTTTTTACATACTTAGAAAATGTAGAGTCCTAGACTGGTTTGTGTTGGAAAGAACTCTAAAGCTCATCCAGTTCCAGGCCTTGCAACAAGCAGGGACATCTTCCACTAGAGCAGCTTGCTCTGGCCTTGAACACTGCCAGGGATGGGGCAGCCACAGCTTCTCTGGGCACCCTGTGCCAGCGCCTCAGCACCCTCACAGGGAAGAGCTTCTGCCTAAAAGCTCATCTCAGTCTCCCCTCTGGCAGGTTAAAGCCATTCCCCTTGGCCTGTCCCTACAGGCCCTTGTCCCAAGCCCCTCTCCAGGTTTCCTGCAGCCCCTTCAGGCACTGGAGCTGCTCTCAGGTCTCCCCTTCAGGAGCCTTCTCTTCTCCAGGCTGCCCCAGCCCAGCTCTCTCAGCCTGGCTCCAGAGCAGAGCTGCTCCAGCCCTTGCAGCATCTCCATGGCCCTCCACTGGATTTTCTCAAGCAGGTCTATGTCCCTCTCATGTTGGGAGCCCCAGAGCTGCACACAGTAAAACCAGGTACACTGATCAAATATGAAATCCAGAGCATGGCAGCGGATGGAAACTCCAGCTCTGGAGTCCTAGCGGTTTCCCTTTCTGTAACGCCACCATTATTTCTTGATGAAGAAAAACTGTTCTTCACTGCACATTCTATTCCATGTACTTCTGCTGCACTACATATGGCAGGAGCACCATGGGACAGCAGTGAAGGGATATGGTATATGGAACCCTGCACCAAGACCAGCTGAAACGAAGCAGTTCTGATCTTCTCTTACTTCACTAGCTCTGACATCAGCAAAACGCTTTCTTCTTTTCCAGATGGGAACTGGAGCAGTGGGAAATGTTTTCCCTCAGTATTTGCCCCTCAGTCCTCTGTTGACAGAAATGACAAATGGTCATTTCAGTGGATTTAAAAAGCAGTGGAACTTCATGCCCCTAATGAATGGGCAGCAGGAACTCACACTGGCAGCGCTTGATGGCTGCACATGAAACTAGCCAGGCTCAGTAAACAAAACCAGATCCCCAAATGCAGCCTGAGATAAGTGAAAGTATGCATTGAAATTTATTGTAGGAAAATGACTGACTGGAAAAACAGTGGTCTGCACCTCCAAAACATATTGTACCATTTAAACCCGCGAGAAAGACATCTGCCAAAAATGCAGCTAATTCTCCTGAAGGTCAAATGTATTTCTCTTGTAAAACAGTTGAAACAGCAATTGCACTTCTTGATTACTCTTATGAAAGCAACTTAGAGAAGAATCCTAGGATTGTTCTTGTCATTTGAAGTTGGGATGTTTATTGCTTACTGGCAATGGCTTTTGTTGCAAAGGTTAAACACAGTCAGCAAATGATCATAACCCCCCACAAAAAGGGTTAGTCCCAGTGCAGCCTGCCTAAAATTCCCACAGCAGATTTGTAGTTCCTTTTGGAGTGCCGCCGCGTGGACACAAATGCTGCCATAGGCTCCTCTCTGTCCCACAGCCCAGTGGAAACAAGAATGGGTGATAGCACCTCTCAGCTCCTAACCATGCTGTCAGCCTTGCATGTCCCTGGCTACCCTGGGGCAAACGGTGATGGAGGAGGAGTGGTAATTTTTGTACCAATATACAGTGTCTGCTACCAAAGAGTGTTTTTTTGCAGATGTTTTCTACACAGGAGTGTAAGAAATGTCACCACCTCCTTGGAGCTGGATAGGAAATAATTGTGGCATCTGTGATAGCAGCTGAGGACGTGGCTTTAACCTGCCAGAGGGGAGACTGAGATGAGCTCTTAGGCAGAAGCTCTTCCCTGGGAGGGTGCTGAGGCACTGGCACAGGGTGCCCAGAGAAGCTGTGGCTGCCCCATCCCTGGCAGTGTTCAAGGCCAGGTTGGACACAGGGGCTTGGAGCAAGCTGCTCTAGTGGAAGGTGTCCCTGCCCGTGGCAGGGGTTGGAACTGGATGAGCTTTGAGGTCCCTTCCAACACAAACCATTCCATGGCTCTATGATTACACCATAGATGTAGAGCTTTGCTCACCCAGAAGAGACCAGAGAAGCCCCTGTTCATCCAGAGATGACTTACACCCCTGGTAAACTCAAGTTCATCCTTAGAAGTCAATTTCTGGATCGGATTACAGTGTTTTTTTTCTCTGACTGTTTGTATAAGACTTGTAGGTTTATTCACTGGAGATTGCCACCATAAATTTTAGAAGTCTGGCTTACAAAGCCTATAACAACCTTGTTTAGCAAAGGTGTGCCTTGCAGCATTCCTTCAGTAATGCCACTTTGGCTGCCCCTTACCTCTGGGGTGAGGTATTTCATCATGATTTCCTTTCCTTTCTCTCCCAGCTTTTCATCTGGAGCAATTTCATACTCTGCCTGGAACAGATATAACAAAAAAGAAAGTCAATATTTGCGCTCGTATTTCACCATTATAACTTCATTTTGGATGTGGCCTTAACGGAATGCTCTGTCTGAAAAATCAGAAGGATAAATACCATTTTCTGATGGAAGTAAAACCCGTCCACACCACCCTATTAAAACTTTCCACTATATTTTGACCAAACCCTAGTGGTGCATTTTCTGAGACGATATCACCAACGTAATTTAATTCATTTATATCTTATAGACTTGCCAAGCCAGCTTTCAGATAGCAGTCCGTGACAAGAGATGGCAACTTTACTTGGGTTTGCTCAAAGGGAAGGAGAACACAGAAGGTAAAATTATTTCTCTGAGTAGAAGAGAAAGCAAGTGATTGTTAATTCTTGCCACAGATGTAGCATTTGAAGCACCAGGTGAACTCCTTCAGTAGATTGTCTTCCTAGTTGAGTGTGTTCTTGCTATTTAAGTCTTCCCCTTCATCTAACAATACTTGTGCAAAGCAGAGAGACTTGCCCATCGCTTTTAATGATCCTTGACTCAGTCCCTCCAGAAGGCCGATTTCTTGAGACCACGGTAGAACAAGAGGCTCCATTTAGAAGAACAGACATTATAGGCAAAATTCTCTTTTACTTCCCTGGTGCACTACAAAAGAGAGCATCACATTCCCCTACACAAACTTTACCTACATTTCAAATTCTGACTATTCTATGTACTGTAGCATAACTGACTTTTAATGAGCTTCAGGACAACGTTTACATAAGAAACAAAAGAAGCATTACTCGTGCACCATGAAGGCATTAATCACTTCAGTTGAAGTTCTGGATCCATGGCAGGCATTCAAAGGAAACACACATGCCGCATGGGACCCCAGTGGCTAAATGACAGCGACAAGTTCTTAGAGACGTTCCCACTTGGCACTGCTCAGGATATGAAGCCTTAGGAACCAATAAAAAAACCCCCAGATGAGGACTGCCTATCAGCTTTCATGACTGCATTAAAAGAAAGCTCCCAGAACCCCCTGCCAAACCAATTAAGTAACCTGGCCCAATACAAGTTGTCTGTGATGATAAATGAGGAGGAAGTTAAAATAAAAAGAAGGTAAATCAGACTGAACTGGCAAACACTAGGAAGAACAAATATCAGAACTATTGCCTACTGGAAGATGTATGTCCTGCTCCAAGCTTGATGCAATAAATCCAAAGGCAGGCTGTAATGGATACCTTAGCTAAACAGACCCAAGAATGCCATGAAAACCACAATGTGGTAATAAGGCTATTACCCATCTATCTGGCCAGTACTCACGGAGCTATTGCAGCTTAAGTCTGAAGCTATGTATTACACACATACAGAGCAGGTTGCTTGAACAATCTAGAAGTATGATCTGATTTGGTTTGGGAAATGACAGTGACCGCAAATAACAGAGAAACCTGTGCTGCTGCTGAAAAATACACCCAAAAGCTAAAATCCACAAGTGCAGTACTTCTCTTTTAGTGCCCATTTTGGGGGTGAACTGATTTCATTCTCATAAAACCTAATACAAGGGATTAAAAAAATCTTTCATCCAATTTTCTGTCCTTTTAGATGGTATCTGAGTATGGGCCATTTCAGCTCCTAAAGCACAGGCACTCTCAAATATTTACAGCATCTTAACAGCATTTTTCTCCATGATTCCTTGCTAGGTGAATAAAGCAATGGCTATAGTAACAGAGGGACCAATTTCATTAAAGGTGAAAGCTGCATCTTATTCGGACCTTACAGTTTAGGGTTGGGCTCACAGGAAAACTAGGTGTTTTTCATAGAAAATAAACCAGAGATAATATATTTCAATAAAAGAAAAGGAATGTACTTAAATGTAACTGTCTGTGCAGAAGCCTGCAAGGAAAGCAGAACTTCTTGGCACTGCCTCATCATGGAAGCATCTAGGAGATCCGAGTCCACCATTCAATGCTACTTACAGTTTAGTCATTAATGACCATTTTTCTCTCCTTCATTTGCTTTTAGATTCTGGATCCTAGCAACATATTGGCTCCCTTGTAACTAAAACTTGATTCAAAGTCATCATCTGCCACTTGAAGTGCGCCAGGGGGATGTCAAAAGACGGCATGTCTTTTTCGCCACAGACACCCTATTATATATACATCCCATCCCAATCACACATCAGGAAGCAAATTGGAGAGACCACAAGACAGAAGTTTAGCAGGAATTGGATCAGTGTTTTGAAATGCAATTCCTGATGGGATCCAAACTTATGCAGACCTAAATGCACACACACACGCACACGTATACAGAGTACCTAACTCTGTCTCAAGATAGCTGGGAAAGAAGAAAAGAAAAGTTGAATTATACTTGCATCTGACATTCTCAGAAAATGCAACACTGTGGTGGTGAAGGTAGGAAGTGACAGACAAGCGGGGATGTGAGAAAGAACCATAAGCTCCAACTGTGAACAGTGCGGATTTTACTGTAGCTCAAGTACTAGAAGCCAATTTCATTTTGTCTCTGAGTTCATTATTATTTCTCCCTTCAGTGCCACGTTTGAGCTATTCAGCAACAGATTCTGGTATTTCTTCAGCCATGGGCTGTTATTACAGGAAGAATTGCCCATGTAGACAGGCAGAGTGACTTCCCCATGCTCACTCTCACACATGCCTGGGAAGCATACCAAGGTCCTCAAATCTCAGTCTTGTGCTTAAATCACAAGATACATCCCCTTCTTCCACAATACCCAAAAGCATGGCTACAGTTTGCAAATCCCTAATTGCTAGAAATAACATCGTTACTTAAAATCCATGTGGAACAAAATATTTTCCATTATTCCTTTGATGAATCCAGGCATGTGTTTCAAAGCTCCTGCTCTGAAGTCTAATAGCTTCTCCATGCCCTAGTTAGGTCAGACAGGGCCCTATTCATAGCTCATAAATGAGGGGAGGATTTACGATCACCCTGACTGCATGGGACGAGCTGCAGGGAAGGCTCCTTCTGTGGGCAGGCACGGATCCTTCAGTCCAAATGGCAAGAGGATGTGGGCTGGCTGCTGTTTGTTGCTAACTTTCCTTTTGGCTGCTGTTTCAGAGGTTGTAGTTACTTCAGTGGCTTCTGCCACTGCTCCCTAGAAGCAACCCTGGATGAATGGGGGCACAGGGGTGCGAAGCATCCTTCGCTTTGGAGTCGCCACCCTTGGGATGTGCTGAGTGAGACTGGATGGAAAACACACTTCCACTGGGAAAAGGAGCAAGATCTAGTCTTGTGGTTGGTTGCAGGCTCAGGGATGGCTCAGGAAGAGGTTTGGATGTTGGAGGTTGCCTGTGACCAATGGAGAGCATCACTAGGGAAATGGCACTGGGACACAGCGGTGGCTTGTACCAGCAACCTTCGCTCTGACACATCGTTTTATCTAGTGCTTGATTTTCCTCTTAATACTCTTTGAGCTCCTGAAACTGTGGCCTAAAAACATGTGAAAACTGAAAAACAGAGCCAGAGGGATCTCTCTGCAGATCCGGGAGGACTCTTTCGCACAGCAGGCAGGTGCTGGTTGCCTGTGGGAGCATGGCATGCCAACAGGAGTCGGTCCCTTCTACCTACCAGGAGGTGGAGATGGGAACAGACACTCCCACCAACACATTTTGGGCTTCTTGGTATAAATCAGTGCAGTGGAGTCAGGTTCTGAGCATCTCCAGGAGGCTTCTGGTGTTTTGTCCCCAATTTTACACCTCCACTTTCTCAGCTCTGTTATTCACAGCATCTCTCTCTGCTTCAGCTCCTGCCTACTCCTTCCTTGGGACTCCAGGTTCTGCCCTCTTGCTGCTCTGTGCTCCAGCCATTGCCCTTGCACTTGCCTCCGCTGGAGACTTAAAATCTGAGACTGAAGATTGGAAAGCAAAATGCAAACAGCTGGTATTCATAATAACTCACATTTCTAAACGAAAAGTGAACTTGAAACCACATTTTTCATATTTAAATGCAGGGCAGAAAGAGCCCTTTTGACTGTTTAAAAACATGTTTTGAGTTAATGAGTTTGTTGATATCAACAAACTGGCATTTCTGATGGAAAAAGCCTTGAACAGCTTCAAGACACACATACACAGATGGTTTATATACCATGTAAAGGACTTAACCAAACAAAATCTCCCTAACAGCAAGACAGGGTTTTTACAAATGGCATTAAATGGATGCTTCTTCATCCTTCTACCCCAGATAAGTGCAATGTCTAGTGATGCGTTCAGCTGAAAAGTCCACCTGAGATTGTGCCTCTCACCCCCCAGCCCTATGCCTGGATGGCACAAGCAGAAACAACCTGGAGAGGGGCTAATTTCCCCCAGAGGATGTATTTCTGTGTGACTTTAGTGCAAAGAAAAAACATCATGCAGGTTAGAGACAAAACCTTGATGAGAAATAGCCACATTCTCCTTCAGTCCCTCTAAATCTGGTCCACATTAAAATGTTAAAAGCCCTTGACTGGAAAAAAATAATAACACAAAATTATGAGTGTGAGTAGATGAAGCAGGAAAGGGAGTCCAGAAGCTAAAGTCTTCATTATAACGGCACACAAAAATCACAGGAGAGAAGGTGCAAACGTCAGGAGCTGGCACCCCAGGAATGTGCTGTTGAGAAGGGGACAGGGGTGAGAAGGTGCTGAATTGCCGCCTTCTTGTGCTGGAGGCATGGGCTGCGGGGAAGGAAATGCGTCTCGCTAGCAGATTCCCTGCTCACTGATCTGCCTTTCAGCACAGGAAACATATCCCCTAACACTTTATTTTAAGGGCTGTCTTTCAACAGCTCCAAAGCTGCATGATGTCGCCAAAATATTTGTAAGTACAGCAGAGCGTGCTTTAGGGCTGTGCGTGGACTCATAGAATCACAGAATGGTTTAGGTTGGAAGGGACCTTAAAGATCATCCAGTTCCAACTAGGAAAGGGACACCTTTCACTAGATCAGGTTGCTCCAAGCCCCATCCAACCTGGCCTTGAACACTACCAGCGATGGGGATTCTTTGTTAACAGCTGTACGGGAACTGTTTTAATCATAAACCATCTCCATTTAATGCTAATAGCTTATGTTCACGCAGTTTCTTCATCTGAAAGGCTACCTAAGGGTTTGGTAAATTATTCATGGAAGATCTTTGTGTTCACATATACACAGGTAAGCACACAATGCATTCAGAGGCACAAGCTGCAGCCATTGGTACTTCCTACTAGGTATTTTATTCAGTCAAGTCAGGACCTCTGTCATGAAGTTGTTTGCACAATATCCATAATAAGAGATAGCCATATCAGCTAGGAGAAAAGGCTGCTGTTGCCCCATTTCCTGGCCAATCAGCCAGACTGATGGCCACTATGATGGTCCCATAGCAGTGGTGGGAACCAAACATCATAGCTCCACCAGTGCTGAACTGCAAAGCTCTGAATCTCTTTGTTCTTACCACTTTTATCATTCAAAGCTGGGGCCTACTGCTTACAAACCACATATCTTTGAAGTGTGTTTTATGGTTGATAGATTGTGGCTCATTACCCAGACAGTGTTCTCAGAAAACACATAGAAACTTCATGCCTCTGAGCACTTCAATCTCAGTTATGGGCTGAAGCTGGCCAAGTTATTCACAGGTTTCAGAGGGAACTGACAGAAACCCACCTACATGCATGCACAATTTAATGATACAAAACCTTTTTCTTCAGAAAGCAGCCCTGCACTGCTTAAATACTGTATTAAAAACTGGGAGGCATGGCTTCTGCCATGCTTGACCTGGTGAAGTCACTTAGCTGTGCTCCGTGAAAGAGACGTGGTCCTACTTCTGAATGCACAAAAAGCTCTGTGAGCCTCCCATGAGCAGCTAAATATTTTCCTCTATTCTTTTTTCTTTTGATTAGTTATTACACAAAAGCTTAAGTTTTGCATCTCACACGAGAAACATAACTAAGTCAAAAGTAAATGGAGGCTCTTGGCTTCTTCTGCTTCGGGCTTGTTACAGCAGGTGGTCTCTAAAAGGTTTCACATTCCTGGTGGTCCCAGAACAGGGCTGTAAAGTCGAACTTCTGGTCTCATTATAGGACGTTTTTGCCTAATTTTTTGCCTAATGTAGAGCTTGGCCTGAATTCCACCACTCACTCAACACAGTGTGACCCTGCTGGGCAAGTTTCAGTAGCAATCATCCAATTTAATGGCTATAGGCTGTGCTGCTTGACCTTAATATTGCTTAATACAGGGATTTTCATGGGCTTGGGGCAAGCTTATATAGAATTTGAAATCAATAAACAAAGGAGGCTGCTGTTAATTAGTGTTAAAAAGAAGAGAGAAAGCATAAATATTCAGACCTCCACAGAGCCAGGCATTTTGTTAATGAAACCCTTGTAGTGTCAGTCTGAGCCTAACTGGGAAGTGACCACTGGCCTGGTAAACGTCTGCAGGACAGCTCCAGCCTGCAAAAGCAATGCTGGAATGGATGCAAAACACACCCTCGCAAAAAGATTTAGGGATATGAGTCTAGGATTGCTCGTAGAAGGAGCTTTAACACAAATCCAGTCCCACCACCAGCTTTAGCAGCTCCGGTGCTGCCTGTGCTGCATGGATGCTGGGAAGAGGACCCGGAGTTGCTTGGCACTGCTCCACGGAGCTTTAGGAGACTGAAATGACACAGAGCCCTCAATTCCTGAAGTCGTCACTGCTGGGAGAGGCTCGAGGCAAAGGTTATCACGGGGTGGCACTGGGGGACACACACAGGAGCGATACGGGGGTCAGTAATGTTTCCCTTAGCCCAGATGTTATTACCACTGCCAGGTGTGTGCGAGGCTCACACAATGTGGGCTTGTTCTCTGCAGCTGCTGGGCGCTGATGGAACCAAAATATGATGCCTGCTGCTGGTGCAAGGAGGCATGAAAGAAGAGCAGAGCCTCGCTGATGCTCTCCAAACCGAGGACAGCTCTGTCTCTTCTGTGTGAAATTAAACCCATTTGGAAGCAGCCTTTTGCGGCTGTCTCCCAAAGGGTTTCTGTGGCTTCCTAGAGAGAGAACCAGCACTCAGTTCCTCAGGGCTGCAGGCATCACACCCGATGTGGCATTTCTGTGGAGATGCCTCCCCTCAGATGGGTGTGGTGTGTTCCATCAGTGGCAGATAACTCATGAGAGGATACTGGCTCAGTACAGGACCAATACATCCAGGGTACCTGAAATGTCCTCCTGCCCGCTAGCCTTAAGCACATCTGCCCAGAGTATTCGTCAGGAGCAGTAGTTCCATGCGTCTTGATGGCTAAAACTTCCATTAGGGAAAATCACAACCGGTGCTAGGAATGTCAGGTAGAAATTGTGACCAGCTAAAACTGATTTGAACAGGGCTTTATCTAAAACTTTCTGTGATGCTGCAGATTTGCTGCACGTACTGCAGCACTAACAAACTTTAAAGCTTTAAGTGACCACGTGTCCTCTCCCAGACCTACAATTTCAGCGCAATCCTCACGTCCCCATGTAGTTCAGAACTTCAGAGCTGTAGTTCAGCTTCACCATGGAGAGGGGCTTTTTACAAGGGCCTGTAGAGACAAGGGGAATGGCTTTAACCTGCCAGGGGGGAGACTGAGATGAGCTCTTAGGCAGAAGCTCTTCCCTGTGAGGGTGCTGAGGTGCTGGCACAGGGTGCTCAGAGAAGCTGTGGCTGCCCCATCCCTGGCAGTGTTCAAGGCCAGGTTGGACACAGGGGCTTGGAGCAAGCTGCTCTAGTGGAAGGTGTCCCTGCCCGTGGCAGGGGTTGGAACTGGATGAGCTTTAAGGTCCCTTCCAAACCATTCTTTGATTATACTATTCCATGATTTTATTCCTGTTGGTATGCATTGTTTTGCTTTTGACTGTCAGTGTCAGCCAGAGAGCAAAGCCCCCCTCGGGCACTCACACTCAGCACTGACAAGTTCATCTTCCTGGTACAATTTAGCCTTTTGGCTCATGAGCACCCTCCCTTTCTGCAGACTCCCAGCAAGAAAGCCACTGAGAGACTTCTTCACTGTGAATAGCTTCTCCTGCTGGCATAACAAACGGCCAAGTGCTGCCAGAGTGGGAAAAAACATCGGATACCCCTGGGGCTGAGGGTGTTGTTCAGTGGCCAGGTTAACTGATAGCTTTCTGGGGTGGAAAATGGTTTCTTGGTCGCTCAAGACCAAGACTCTCGGTCACCCTTTCACTCAACCAGGTCACTTCTACACCTTGTGCCTCTCTTTTCCTATTTGAAAAAAACAGGGTAACAGTAAAGATGTCCTCTCTAAATCACCCTGCAGCCTACTGATGAAAAGGCTTGGTAAGAGATGGATATTATATTATCATACTTCTCATCCTCTCTTGTCAGTCCATTCATAATCTGCCCTTTCTTTCCAGTGCCTCCCAGCACTGCAGGCTTCACCCACATCAAAAGACATTACTTAGAGCATCTCAGCTGCTTGGGTGTTGACACGAAGGGAGGCCATGCTGGGACATCCTTCTCCTGCCTCGTGGCTCGTGCTCCCCATGAGCCACAAGGCTGGTACCAGTGAGATGCTTCATGAGTGCTGGTACCAACCTCTCAAGCAGTGCTGCCCCTCTACCACCAATGATGCTGGGATGCTGCTGTGGTCCACTGCTTACTAAGGTGTTAGACACAAAGTCCCATGACACAGCCATTTCTTGGGGTCAGGGGAGTCTCCTCTGTTGGAGAGCATTGCGAAGCACCCCAAAATATCACAGGAATTGACTTACCACTGAGTCAAGGAACCTAATGCAGCACTCGAGCTCGGGTCGAGTTTCACAGAACTGCCTGAAGAGAAGCCTTCCGATCGGCTGCTTTTCACATATGCTGCAGTAATCTCTCTCTAGAGGCAATAAAGAGAAGAAGAGAAGCATGAAAATGAGAGGAGCTTTGCCTTTTGGCTTGGTTAGCAGTTTAAAGCATTGCAAGCGAGTGCAAAACTATGTCCCCAAATCAAAACTGCTGCCTTCTCCCCGCCACACCACGTTTCAGGTATCCAAATACAAACACGATTAATGGCTTGAAGACTCAGACAAGAGAGGCTCAACTTTGTAGAGCTGATGTTGGTACAAGTCCCACAAAAAGCCATTCAGCTATTATGAAAGAATAATTCCACATTTTTCTGTGGTGGAAATATATGCACTCTGCAAAGGTACCGCTCAGCCTGGTGGTGTTTGTGGGAATGTGGGGAGCAAATTACAAGTCCCTGAAATGTGAGTCATACATTAAAGGGCAGGGAAAGTTGGAATTTGTGGAGACCTTCCTGGATGCCTCCTAGATACGCAGTAAAGCGCCCCTAATCTCTGGAAATGCTCAACCCACTCTCTACTGAACTATTATTGCAAACTATGTGTTTTCAAAGGTTTGAAAATCTGTGCTATTTACTCACTGAGCATTAACGAATGGATGGAGCATATGGCATCTAGCTGGTTCCAGTTCACACAGCACTCCTTTACAGAACTGCATTTCCCCTTAAACCCTGTATTTAAATGCCATCCAGAAACATCACTCCCAGTAAAGCAAAAGGTCCTTTACCCATCACAGGGACTATCTGCAGGAAAACTTGAGGGAAGGGCAGGCACCATTAACTGGCATCGCACCAGTACAAACACCAAGGCCCTTTCCAACCCAATTATAGCATTCTGTGATGCTATAATACTTTTCTAGTGAGAGCAGCAAATCCCCAGCCTGTTTGGAGCAGCAGTACTTGCTTGAGACACGTTATTCCTCTAGAAGCACACACATGTCAAACAACATACTGTGTTTCCTTGAGCGTTCCTCTCACCACCCTCCTCGCTGCCATATGGCGCTTGCTGTTATTATGGAAACAACCAGCTCCTAAACACATAACATAGCACTGCAAACAGACATGCAAAACCCACACAAGTTGTCAGTGCCTTGGCTACTTCTCTCTCAGGCCTACAGTGGCTCCTGCAATGCCTTTTATTCCCCCTTTGCTTTGTCCCCCTGCGCCATTCAGCTCCATCTGCACCAAGGAGAACTGTGCTGTGATGGAGCCCACCTTTGCCATGGAAGCACCCGGCCAAAGGGCTTGCTCATCACGGGTCAGAACCTGGGGACCATGTTCTGTGAAACCAGGACATCAATCCTGAATGGAAAATGCTGCATGGCATGTTGGACTTGCTGACCTGTAGCCGGGTGGCAGATGCCAGGAGCCCCCAAGGCTGCCTCTTGCAAGGGGAAAGAAGGTGCTTGCTTGATGCTGTGCTGTGTGCAGTATGGCTGTACTTCAGGAACCGGCCCCTTGAAGCACCTACAGGGTGGCCATTCAAGACATGGGCTGGGACTAGCTGGGCTGTGCTTTTAATTCAGTATGGTCCTACTCTGCTCTATTCTTCTGAAACAGTCTGGAACAACATATCGACACCACTTTGTGGCTGGCATCACCAGTTCATTTTGGATCAGGATATCACTCATTCTATCCAGAAGATTGCAGTGTTTTGGTACCCTCCAGCAAATAAAACTGGATCTAAATCACTGTGTAAATCCTAACTTGACCTCCAATATATCTATCTATCTATCAACAGTAAGCCCATGGCACTGGTTTGTTTGAGCTGGAGCCTCCAGTGTGGAACACCATGACATAGACATGTACAGGAGAAAGGCAGCAGGTTCGCCTGGATGCTGAGCAGCCTTGGAGGTGTCCTTGTGGATGGTACAAGCTTGTGCTGCCTGACCAAGTAGCTTTTATAGTGAGGAGGTAATTGCTGCAGGGATGGGCAGACACACAATGCTAAGGTAAGCAATGGAGGAAAGAGCCTGAGTGAATCAAAACAGCAGCTCACAATGTCCCACAGGGCAGCACAAAGCCAGAGGCTGAGCAGCTCAGGTGAGCTCTCCTGGGAGGTCTGGAGGTTGAACTACATCTGTCTGATGCTGTTTTCTGCTACCTTGACTAACTCACTCTTCTGAGGCTATGAATAAAATATATACACTGAATATCGGCAGCACACAGCCTGCTTGATGGCAAGACTCAATCCTTCCTGAAGCCCAAAGCCACAGCGAGCTTCCTCATGTTAAGCAAGCAGTGCAAAGTATGCAATAGGCTGAATTTGTAACAGGATAAACCACAAAGGAACAAATACATTAATCAGCTAGCTTGCCCTATATTTTCTCTATTACAGTGCTATTGGATGCACAGTAGCAAGGCTTGCTGCTCAAAATGCAGTTAGTTTATCAAAGTTGCTATGATAGGGTGACACTCGCTGTACTAGAGGATGCTAGAGGGCTAGCGATATCAGCTAAATAGGCATGCAAATTGCACACGCAATCACTGCAGTTCATAGTGTAGCAGGAAAAGAAAACAAGCAGCTAAACGCTATTACATATGTGGCTAAATGAAACATAAAGAAGACATGAGCACAGACTTCCTCCTATGGTGCATAACTTGGCCAACATACGAGAAGGGTGACCTGTTTGTAATGAGGAAAAAGGAAATGCCAGAAATAATCTCTGAAAACACAAGAGCCAGAGCAGTTCCCCGGAGCCATCCACTCCTCAGTCGTGCTCATTTAAGTGCTGGATCTACCAATACAGACAATAAATACATGATGCAACTGCTTTCATTCCTTCGAGGTGACACAAAGTATTTTCTTAGGCTCTGATCTTGCTGTTGGCCTCACTAAGTCAGCTAAAGGAGTCTGCTCCCAGTTCATTCTTGGGATGCATGGGTCCTGGAGTCGACTAAGAAAGAAAAACACCTCTCTCAGCTAAAGCAGGGAAAAGGAGCCATAGTTTGTTACAGTAAGGGAAAACTGTTTTAACAGCGTGCTGCACCCCTGAGACCTGGATAAAGCACCCCAAGCTATGCTCACAAGGTGCTGCATGCGGGGAGGGGATGGAGAGTCAAGAGGGTACCACAGCCAGGGGCTCCCTAGGGCTGGGGATCATGGTCGTGTCGCTCTCGGCCCGCCTGCCAGTACAAATATATCCATCCAGTTTCAAGAGCTTGAAAAATAGAAAGAAAGATTTCCTGAGGAAATGGAAATGTTAAACACTTGGAAGTGAAACCATATGCTCGTGATGATGAAGTGTAACTAAAACAGCTCTGAGAGCTGTATCTTTGGTAGTCAGACCCTCCTGCTGCAGCGTGATCCTGTTTAACGCCTGCAAAGTCACCCAAACCAGGGGTGAAAAGCTGCGTGGGTCAAAGCCCTAGGAAAGCACTGCTGCCAAACTCATCATTTAAAAAGTACCACTGGCAAATAATGTGCACATGTGAGGTCTTCGTCTTCCTAACAGAGTATAGACACAGATCGTTATAGAAAAGATACTATATAAAATGTCATCACAAACACAGAACTATGGAATGGTTTGGGGTGGAAAGGACCTTCAAAGCTCACCCAGCCCACCCCCCTGCAATGAGCAGGGACATGTTCAACTAGATCAGGTTGCTCAGAACCACATCCAGCCTGGCCTTGAATGTCCCCAGGGATAATGTATTCATAAGATAAACAACATTCATCCTAAACTCTACTGACTCATTTCTCCCTTTACTTCATAGCTTATGTATTGAAGACTACTTTATAGAGCACCCAGCAAGCAGAACATACCAAAACAGTTACACCTGCACACAGGCATCACCAAAGTCTATGGCCAAATTTGTTCCCTGGCAGATACTCTGGTAAGGTTCTGAAAAAGATCTAAGCACACACCCAGGAAAACCAGTTCTATTAATAACTTTCATACGGACCAAAACATGTCACTGATGAAGTGAAAAACACTAAACAGGGTAATAAAGCTGCTGACAATAAAATCCTTGACTTTCATGCAAAAGGGAAAAAAATGAATATCTAAAAAACCTCCTTGGGCCTTATAAGATCTTTTTGTCTTCATTTCCCATTTAAAGACATAGAAGGTTTTTCTTCTGGCTCAAAATATCACCTTATCAATTTTTGGAGATAAACAGCGGTCTGCAGAGAGACCAGGACCCTCCTCCTGTTTCACATCTGAAACATCCCTATGGGTTCTGGTGGGTTACTGGTGAGCTACACAACAGGGTGACGACTCTTGGCTGAAACCCAGTCTTTTCTGATGTGTTTCATTCAGTGTAAACTGCAGGTGTATGAGTGAGACTGCTATGGAAAGCTGTATTCCTGTTTCTGGGTAGAACCTCTTGTTCTGAAGGGCTGCTAATCCAACACCTGCACACAGCTGGTGAGGCTTCTTCCTCTAGCTGTCTATGGGGAGGAACGAGCTCAGTTTAAATCTCACTTTTCAAGTCTACAAGAGCCAGGAACATCTTTTCGCCTTTTTGGTCACTACTGGTGCGGCCCATGACTGCACTTAGGTACTGACTATTAAATAGCATTTTGTTTTCCAACATACTGGAATCCCAAGATAAGATATTTCATAGAAATGCATGGAGAAGTGCCAGGAAGACATGCACCATGCTGCTGCACAGGAAAATTTGGACTTGGCCTCTGGCTCTCTGCTCTCCTTGGCATTAAATCAGCCTGGATTAAAACTGAGTAAGATCCAAATGCAATGTAATTCTGCTGCCTACAAACAAAAACCCAACCAAGACAACAACAACAACCAAAAAAAACCCTTCCTTAACACCTGGAAACCCCAAAGTGGATGCAGGAAGATTTAATTGTTCTTTTCCTGCTTGTGCTCAACGACCCATGATGAGAACTCATCTTCCCCTTTTTTTTTCTTCAAGGTGAATCAAAATCTTTCAAACAGACATTGTTCCAAGTCTATTATTTGTCTTCCTTTATCCTGATTTAGTCCAGAGCAACAAAAAGCACACTAAACTCATGGAAGAAAGCATTTGAATATGAGGGAACTCTCAGTCCCTACTACTCTCAAGCTGGACAA